TCATAGGCACCAAAAACAAAAAATTGACCCCCCCTACCTCGAGGAGAGAGAGAGTAAGGGAGAGAGAGTAAGAGAGAGAGACCGAGAGAGAGAGAGAGAGAGAGAGAGAGAGAGAGAGAGAGAGAGAGAGAGAGAGAGAGAGAGGCGAATAGCAGAACCAAGTGGAGTTCTAAAATGGATGAAATCAAAATTGCACAATCGAACGGAATTGATTCAATCACGGCACTTTTATTATTCATACAAAACACTGTAAAAGAGCAGACATTCAAAAAAGAAAAAGAACCAACAAAATAGTTATTGATAATTATGCAATAGATGTGAAACAAAGATTTTTTAGGTTATATTTGAGTCCAGAGATTATGTGAGGTCGAGTTTGAGGCAGACTAAATTTATTGCAAATTTCTTAAAGCATATATGTACTACTTTCTTAAAGCGTCTCTCCTGTGTGGGTCCGGCGATGCCGGTCTACGTGGGCCCTTTGCGCAAATTTTTTGTTGCAGATCGCACACTCGTACGGCTTCTCCCCAGTGTGGGTCCGGAGGTGAGTGCGCAGACTTTGAGCATGCGAAAATCTCTTGTTGCAGAGTGTACACTCAAAGGGTTTCTCCCCTGTATGGGACCGGTGATGTTCGGTCATTTGGCTCTTCTGAATAAATTTCTTGTTGCATATTGGACACTCGAAGGGTTTCTCTCCTGTGTGCCTCCGGAGGTGAATGCGTAGATCGTGAGAATGCTTAAATTTCTTGTTGCAGAGTGTACATTCAAACGGTGTCTCACCCGTGTGGGTCCGGAAATGTGTGGTCAAGCTGCTTTTTTTAATAAATCTTTTGTTGCAGATCGTACACTCGTAACGCTTGTCTCCTGTGTGGGTCCGGAGGTGGATACGCAGATTTCGAGTACGCGCAAATCTCTTGTTGCAGAGTGTGCACTCAAAGGGCTTCTCTCCTGTGTGGGTCAGGAGATGTGAGTCCAAGTCGTACTTGCGTGAAAATTTCTTGTTGCATGTTGTACATTCAAAGGGTTTCTCTCTTGTGTGAGTCCGCAGATGCCGCTTCACTTGGCCCTGTTGTGCAAATTTTTGGTTGCAGATTGTACACTCAAAAGGCTTCTCTCCTGTGTGGGTCCTGAGATGCCTGCGCATATCACAAGCCTGCGAAAATTTCTTGTTGCAGACGGCACACTCAAAAGGCTTCTCTCCAGTGTGCGTTCGCAGATGCGATCGCAAATTGCTAACAACCGCAAATTTCTTGTTGCACACAGTACACTCAAAAGTCTTCTCTCCAAGGTGCGTCCAGAGGTGTTGGCGCAGTAAACCAGAATGCATAAATTTCTTGTTGCAGAGTGTACACAAAAAAGGCCTCTCTCCTGTGTGTGTCCTGATGTGATCACGTAGTCTAGACATTTGTGAATATTTCTTGTCGCAGCTTGTACATTCGAAGGGTTTCTCTCCTGTGTGGGTCTGCAGATGCCGCTTCACCTGGGACTGTTGTGCAAATTTTTTATTGCAGATTGTACACTCGTATGGCTTCTCTCCTGTGTGTGTCCGTAGGTGAATGCGCAAATATTGTAAAAGCGAAAAGCTCTTGCTGCAGACTGCACATTCAAAAGGCTTCTCTCCAGTGTGGGTTATTCGGAGATGTGTGCGCAAATTCGAAGACTGTTTAAATTGCTTGTTGCAGACTGAACACTCAAACGGCGTCTCTCCTGTGTGGGTGAGAAGATGTAAGTCCAAGGTGGGCTTTCGAGCAAATTTCTTTTCGCAGATTGCACACTCGAAGGGTTTCTCTCCTGTGTGGGTTTTCATGTGCCTATTGCGACTGGTCTTAGTGGTAAACTCCTTGTTGCACAGGTCACATTGGTAAGCCATAGTGGTATTAAGAACTCGGTGACTGCAGAAAAGCAAACAAATAATAATAAATGGTCAGTGTGAGTTCTGGGACCTGTGCTCCTCTTAAAGTTTAAACTAAATAGGGGCTTGTGAATCTAAAATACCAAGCCCAAACGCACCTGCCCCTATAAAAATGAAACGAGTGCGGTGCGAGTGCAGCGCGAGTGCAACTCGAGTGCAATTCGAGTGCGGCATCGAGTGCGTTGCGAGTGCGGTGCGAGTGCGGCCCGAGGGCAGAACGAGTGCGGTGCGAGTGCATGCCGAGTGCGCCCCGAGTGCGGGGCGAGGGCGTCGCGAGTGCGTCGCGAGTGCGTCGCGAGTGCGTCGCGGGTGCACTGCGAGTGCACTGCAAGTGCGTCGAGGTTTGCAGTTCGGCAGGAAGGAAAAGACTGGGCGGGGTGGCGCGAGGGACGGCACAAACACTCAAGACAATTAATTATTAATGTTTTTCTAGTCCTCACACATGCTATGTCAAAGCCTGAGGCGACAAAATCATGGTTTAG